AGCCTCATTTTTCTTCTGAGACGTGATCTTGATTTTAGCAGCCCAGCACTGCACCAACCCAGGATACAACCAGGCCTATGGTATTGTGTCAGCATAACTTTTCTCCGCACTGGGAAACCAAAATATTCATGTGATGTACTTTAGAGCAAGATTCACTTTTTACTGCAGGAAACTGGGCCGGAAGTAGCCATCTCTCTGGGGTCTGCCTGCAGTGTATGGTCGTGAAAACAGAGGCCTAGAGGATGAGACGCGCTGATCAAAACCACTCAGAAAGCCACGGGCAGAACTAGAAATAGCACCCAGGTTGTCTAGTCCCTACTCCAGTTTCTCCCCAACATCACGAGCTAATATTATGCCACACACACCTGCGTTTTCCTCCTCATTTTCCAAAACTCATGAAAATTGTACCTACCTGAGCAATCCGTCTCCAGTGGCCAACTTCCGATTCCAGTCTGGAGACTTCATTAGACAATCTGTTTATTTCCTGTTGGGATGAAATTACGTCGCCGAAGTCCATGTCATCGCCATGGAAAGCCGAGGGATGATGGCTGACATCGTAAGCAAAGGCAGGCGACGTGATAGTTGAAGGTCCCCCGGCAACGCCTGCAGGTGCCAACTGGGCGGCCGACTGCAGTTTCTGTACCTGGTCCTGCAGTGCAATCTGCCTTGCTTTCAGATGGCTGATTTCTACCTGTGTTAATAAGTCATGCTTTAGAGCAGGGACTTTTGCACCATCATAAGCTGTAATCATTTCAGATCATCCAGTTACAGTACTGAGTCCAAGTCTCCAGCAACGCCCTAACCATCAGATTCTTCTCTAAGAAACAAATCTGGCTGCCGGAGTTCAAGCACAATGTTTCAAACGTTCTGAAGGCCAGGATTTCATTCACATGTGGACAAAAGCAGAGAATGACTCTCACTGAAACAGGTGTCTTCTATTACCTGCTGGGTATTAGGGACACTTTTGTGATGATCCTATCTCTGATGACACAATGAAAGCTGGTGTCAGTCTATGCATTAAAAACTTTGCCCTCCCAGCTCCTATCAGAAGAGGCGTCTCTCACTCAATTCACTGGCAGTGAGCTGATTCCGTGGCCTAGCAGAAGTGGCCTGATTATGGCTGATTCGGGTTTTAACACTCCAGGAATATGAGGCAACCTAGTCTGTGTAGCACAGCTATGGGAAGGCTCTGATTATTAACTCAATATCACTACACAGGATAGCACAGTGAGTCTATGGTTATTAGCCTGTGAGACTAAGAAGGAAAGCCTTAGGAGAGACCAGTCAACCTGACCCTATTCAGGGAGAGAACAGTATAAAAAGTCTGAAACATTGAGCAGAGTTCTGACAAACTCAAAACTCCCTGCCCGAGTCAATGCTGACTCACAGCGCCCCCTATGGGTTTCTGAGACTGTCACTGTTTCAGGAGTAGAAACCCAGTCTTTCTCCCACAGAGCTGCTGGTGGTTTCCAACCACCAACCCTGTGGATCACAGCCCAACGAGGAGCCACCAGGGTTCCTGCGCTTTGACAGGAAGCCAGCAATATCAAGTCATGGTCCAAAGGAAACTATCAACACAGAACCTGCCGGACCGCTTTATCCACTCCGAGTGAGAGATGACTCACAGCATCATGAGGAAGCTAGAGAAGCCTGAACTGAGCTTGCTGGAAGGGCCTCAAACAGATCCAGGAAGCGCTTCTGCTACAATTTAGGAAAATTTGATACGGAAGAGGCAGCCAATGTAATCGTATCTTTTACATGGACCAATGGGACAAAAAGCAAGCATGTGAATGCAAAATGGTGTAGCAGCCAGGTCTTTCCTATTAGACTGAGAGCAGGTACATC